GTAAAGAAGAGCTTATGCTCTTTTACAACAATTGATCATATCAAATTACAATCAAAATTTAATCTACACATTCCCATGGTTCAAACAAATTTGAAACGGCCATTCACATAGCTCAATTATCGTAGGCTAAGGTTCATAATCACCATTTCTTTAATTAATTAACGCTTTAACTAACTAAACTTGAATGCAACATTTTCATTTGGTTTTTGTATCCATAGAATTGATTTAAATGGAGCTAAATGAAATGAAAATCCAATTCTCATTTAAAGAGACAAAACAATTTTGTTCTCTACCTAATTTGGGCCAAAATGCTATGACCTCAACTTTTTGGGCCATTTTGCAAAACTTAAACTTTTGGGGTCACTTTGTAAAAACACAAAAGTCCACTACTTCATGTAATTACAACTAGAACCCAAAAAATTTCCACAAAAACTAAAACTTCATTAAAGGAGCAAAACAATTTGTCCTTTTAGTGATTTTGGACCTTTACGTAAAAACGTAAACTTTTGGGTCAAAGTACAAATACACAAAAGTATCAAAACTTTATGTAATTGCATGAAAGCCCCACAAAGACCCTAATTGAGTAGGGTGGCTGGTTTTGAAGCAAAGTAATAAAAAAAAATTCAAAGTTTTTGTAAGTGGGGTGTGTGTAATGGAATAAATCATTACACACCTACCCACTAAAATTTCTTTAATTTTTCAAAACAAATATCTAATATATTTAAACATAAGAAATATTTCAAAACAAAAACTTTATGAAATAAATCAAAACTTTGAATCAAAACACCAAACCTTTTGTTCTTGGCAAGAACATATCAAGAACAATGAAGAACATTCATGAAAACCCATAAGAGCTCCATGAACATTCTTCACCCAAAAACATACCAAAACCACTCAAACTTAAGGGAAATAACATACAACCATACTAGGGTACATAGGGGTTCCAAAAGTCACTTTAAAACACTTTTAACAAGTCAAACAAGAACCCAAAAATCCACCCTTTGGATTTGGCCGAATTTCCCCAAAAACATAGCACCAAATTTTAGCTCCAAAATTCATGCTCATATGAACTACATCTACAACATCTGAGATGGCAAATTTTCTAACAAAATTTACATTCAAAGAAGCAAGAATAAAGCTTGTAACAATTACAACATTCAAATCACAAACTATGAACTACAAAACCCAAAAGGATTCACCAACTACTAGACTTAGGCTCTTGATACCACTTGAAGGAAGATTTGTGAAAAACATGTTCATTTAAGCAACATCAATAGCATGCAATTAACAATTAAAGGCGGAATCATGCTTGTATGCACTTAAAACAAAACATTTACCCATGAAATTCAAAGCCTAGTAGATAGGTGAACCAAGACTCAACTCAAAACAAAGTGAGTTGAGAAATCAATACCTTTGTAGATTCCTCTTTGCATAAGCAAAGGCTAATCACCCAAAGAGAGGGCCTTCATTCCTTGCATCTTAGATCCATGGATTTGGATAGATGAAAAAGTTTCTCCAAGTTCCCAAAATTGAGAACCTCCAATGATTCATCACCAAGGCATAATGAAGAAGAAATGAGTGACCTTGGAGGAGTTTGATTGCTAGATGATCCCTCCAAGGTGGCCTAAATTTTAGAGAGAAAGGAGAGCTTGTGTTCTCATCCTTTCCCCAAAAATTACCATATGTAAATTTTAGGCTATAAAGTCCTTTATATAGTCCCTTCAAATAAGTGACCTAATGGACCAAAAGCCCTATTCTTCTAACATGGCAAGCCTATAGGGTTTATTGGGCTTTCAAGCCCTTTGTTTATTCAAGTTGTCATACAACTTGAGTTAATGGGCTTGACATTCAAATCCCATTGGGCCTTACGGCCCAAAACTAACCCGAGGTCTTTAACGAACTTATTCGTTTGATTAATTAACATATTAATTAATCATAGCCTTAGATAAATAATTAAGCCATTTAATTATTCTTACTCATCTCCGTTGTTTCTTCAAACTCTACCTTACTCGGTGAACGATCCATTAGGTTCCTTTTAGCGAGGCAGTGGGCGATTAAAACTCTTTCTAATTGATTGTGAATTGAAACTTACTTTCAATTCTCCCGTTAGTGATAATACACTTTTAGGGCTTCCACAAACCATGGTTAACGCCTAGCAGCATGTCATGGTTACCCAAGCTAATCAGAAGAGGTGGAGAACCTATTCAGTTTTAGGATTACAAATGCAATACGGTCTTTCTCTAATACAATACTCTTGACCACATTGTTTGGTTTGATAGTTTATTCATGTCTACTATCCAATGTGAGTCTTGTGCTTATATGATTACCTTGAATGTGATTTGGAACACATTCCTAAATCTCATTCATACTTTGGCCAAAGATTCTTAATCATATCATAGAGTATTCTCCTTCAAACAGTTTGAAGGTTAAAGATCCCTTGTTGCGCATTCACTTGCCTCCATGACTAAGTGGCTTAACCCCAACGATGCCATGGACACCCTCCTGATGGAGTGACTTTGACATAATCAAAGATTAAGGACCTAACCACAAGACAACTGTGATGCCTCAGGTCAAAAGACTAATTTGCATTATCCCAACCATGAGTTCTCATGTGACATGAATATGAGAACTCTTCGTTGATCGTGTTCAGTGAACTCATTCTCTATTGAGCACCTACGTACTTGTCTTGATGTCACACACACCAATGACTCGAGACTAGTCACTCTCCCTGAGAGAAGACATAGCACATACTGATCTTAACGGACTGTCAATGCCCAATTGGCAATCTTATGATCAGGAACGTTTAGGATGTGTCAACGAAAGAATGGTCTCATGAATCTAACTTCTTTAGATCGCATTCTTCCAATCACATATTCCTTGGACTTATCGTTTAAGCATATAACATTTATATGAGACGGCTCAAGCAATAATGTTTGCCCTTAATATTAAACTAGATTAGTTTAACATGTGAAATGTCCATAAAGTATCATCATATGATTGGTTTTAGGGCACATTTCCAACACCTACTTGAAATGTGTTGTTTTCAAATCTCTCTTACATACCTTTGTAATGCTCAGATAATGAATTGATAATCTATCCTAACTTTTTGTGATCTATTCCTTTCTGACTTGACCTCAATACTGGACATGAAAATTATTCACCAAAACGTAGCCTTAATACAAATGAGTTATCCACTATACCCATACATAAAAAATAAGTGAAAATAAAAAAGGGCCAAACTGGCGCTCTTGTGTTAGTATTCTGAGATGTATACATATACCTTATGTTTGCATGAGAGAATTTTAAAGTACCAGAAAACTTTAGACCCAATTAATAAAAGGCAACAGTTCCAATTAACAATTCAAACACACTACAAAATGGACCAGAAAGATACTAAATAAGGAACTTTCAAATGACACATTTCTAACTCTAAGTGCCAATACAAAGTTCTCACAATGTACAAGGGATAATTGATAAGGGATGAAATTAATTAACGAGGTCCAAACTAATGAGTTGGTAAAAGATAAAGGATCATGCATTTGTGATAATTATTTTGCTTCATTCAATGTTGATTCTATGCCATTTGATGTTAATTGAATGTTAGGGTGACCATATTGGTAACCAAGTGATGTGGCATGTGATACATATAACCAACATCCAATGAGCTAAACTCATTAAATGACATGAGATGAAACACCAACGTGGTCCAAAAATGTAATCTCTATAGCATTTTTCCTAATTGAATACGTCACGAATTAGATACAAATATACATGTGGTAAGCGTAACATTATTTTAAATTGTAACCTCGTACGAGTCAAATACAAGAGAGATACCACAATGAAGCAGAATGCGTTTAACCTTAATATTCAAAACAAGAAGATAATTCAAGCAAGATAAGTGAAATTTCAATTCAATTTAATGGTGAATCCATCATCTTCTCTTGAAACCATACTTTTTGCGTTCATAGAATAGATCTGTTTTGGCACTTCCTAGATTGACGATTTTGGGACAGCCATCTCGATCTTTCTCCAGCTGAGTACACTCTTTGCAGTAATAAGCATCAGAAATTCCAAGCCCTCCACACACAACACACCGTCCCTGGAACGATCCGTAGTTGCACTCATCGCACACCCGAACAAGTGTGCATGGCCGAACCAAAGAATCACAGATCACACACTTGCCATCACACTTCTCACACAACCTTCCGATGGCTATCCCCGGTTGCTTCCGGCACATAATTAGGTCAGGATGATGCTTCGCCATGTTCCTGTGGTTATTTGTGCAACAATATATGTGCTAACTGATGCTAGTCCCTTGCAATATATATTGGCAAAGTGAGGACTACAACAGTCACAAACAGGAAGGAAGATTTTGGGGCTTACTTGCTGATCAAGGAAAACCACTTTCAGAAGTCAATTTCAGCTGAAAAGTAAGATAACTGGTTTTCTTGGGGAACAAGCTGGGGACAAAGAAAATGGAAAGTGAGGGTTCATCTTAATTAACTAAAGTACTAGTGTCCAAAAATGATGTTCACGCGATTAATTAATTAAATAAGAGTATGAAGGGCAATGTGATGACGGGCTGGGGAATATGCGGATGGTCTGACTTCGAGTCACATATTAGATAATAGCGGTGGATCGCTTCTTCATAATTTATATGGTAGTAATATTTTTCCTCGTAATCATATTTCTAAATTTATAAAACACCAGTTTAGGAAGACATAGAGATGTTTAACTTAATTCCTATTAAATATTTCACAAGACATATTATTGCCCCTTAGTCTCTACAATAATTCTGTGTAGGAGATCTTTTCGATGCGATCATCAATTAAATGTTGATATGTTTTGTTGTCAGTTATGATATTCACACTTTATCAATGACATATCGACAATATATTCATTCGTTAAGAAAGAACGATGGATCTTCCCGAACACTAAATGACTACTCGCTTTCAACAACTTGGGAAGAATTTATATGATATGAGTCTTAATTAACCAGGTTTCAGCCCCAACGGATACCTTTCACTATTTTGAAATATAAGAATAACTTCTGGATCAAGAACATGACTATAGGAGAGTGACAAAAGTCTTGACGCACTAACTCTCAGTTTAGGAATCAAATTATTTATAGAATCTTGTCCATATGTTATCACAGATGGATCATATTCCCCAAGATATGTGTTGTACTAATAATTAAAAAACCACACATATATATAGCTTGTCAGATGATCCTCACTTGTCTACCAAAGATCCAACTGATAGGTACGGAGGTGAGTGGTCGCTTGTCCCTTAATTGAACTCTTTCCTCCAGTTTTCTTATTCTTGGGGCCAACCCACAAACATAATCCTGAGCCTTTCGGCCCTCGGGTGAAAGTCCGGTTAGGGAATCAACCTTCCACACGGAGAGCAACAACTCCAGTATATCGGCATAGTCATTGGTGGTATATACTCCAAGGCGCTGCGCAACACTGGAAAAGTGGTGGAAAAGGTGGTGATCACGACCATCATACATCAAGTGAGCGGGCATAGTGATTTGCTTCTTCATCATGTGAGCTAAAGAAATGACTGTAAAATCAGGATCCAACTCAAACAGCTTTGCCACTATCTTTGTGTAGGCTGCTTCATGGCGCTTCTCATCGGAGGCTATTGTACCACATATTTGCGCCAACTTCAAGTCCCCATGCTCCTTGGCAAGTTTGGCAGTGTTCCCATGAGAGATAGCGGTAGCCCTTTCCTGGAATGAAGTGTATATGAAGGCCAAGTAAGGGTTGTTCTCACCCCCGGGATCCTAAGCACATACGTTTATATGCATATACACAAAGAAAACTAATTAAACACATTAAAAGACGTTAAGTGATTAAGTTAATAAATTAGCCAGGGGTCCTAAGTAAATACCATTCCATAAGTAATCAGATACTGAATGGTCCTCTCAATTTGGGACATGTCGACTCGTCCAGTGAGATAGAGATACTTATTGAGAAGGTCCCCATGCCTGTTCTCTTCAGCAGTCCATGCCCTGTTCCAAACTGCCCAAGAAATTGGACTTGAACCTGTTTCATCTTGAACTCCATCCAATGCATTAAGCATCGTTTGGTAAGTCGGAAGGGCGTCTTCAGTGATCATGTTTCCGACCAAAACAACAAAGTAATCATCTGGAATCTCATTTGCCCTCTCCCTCAGTTCCTTGACTTGCTCAAGAAATCCATCCGTATTGCCAGTAGTTCGAGAGTCAGGAAGAAAATCTTGAGGCTGCCAACACTTGTCAACTGGTTTCAAGTGAATCAAAATGTTGTGCTCAGCCCAGTCCTCTAGGTATTTGAATATCTCAATCTTTTGACTTGGCATAGAATGTGTAATTTCTTGATAACGCAACTCCCGCTGAGGCATGAAAGCCTTCTTGTAATTGTGTACATAATTCCCATTACTAATGTTAATCTCATCAATCCTGAGCTCTCTTTCTCTGCAAGCATGCGTGTACAATAATTAAAGATAACTAGCCCAGTTCGAATGTATAAATTTATCTTCACACACACACACACACACACTTGATACATGATTGATACTAACAGCACAGAATAATAACAACAGTTAGTAAACCAAGTAAAGCAAGTTATAAGATTATTAATTATTACTACGTAGTCTCTGAAGTTTCTCACTTGGAAGCTGCTCGGCCGACAGTTGTACTAGCACTGGATGAGGCCATGGCGCACTTGGGATGTGTTAGGCAGCTCGTCATCTTCATCACTAATGACAGGAAATGTAGATGATCGATAATCCTCCAAGGACGAGAGTATTAAAGGTAAAAGATCGATTGATCGATCATACATAGATACTGAGAAAATATAATACTCTGACTATATATATATATATATATATATATATATATAAAACTAATATTACAAAGTAAGCAAAGATGACTTGATGAGTTAATGAAATCCCTAGCCAGCTATACATAATTCCAACCAATTAAGCAAAAGAAACTGAATAACAATCTTCCCAGTAATTTCGGAAAACGGATAATTCATGTGTTGCGTACGTGCACGCCATACATGAAAGCTCATGTGCCTTGCATGCATGCCTGGTTAAACCATTAGACGGGAGGGTATATATATCACAGAGGCAACCAATGAATAGTATCCAGCAACCACCTTGGTGACATGGCCGATGTTCCACCTCAATGAGGCAGGGGAATACTATAATATATGTCGCCAATATGTAATGTAAAGTTTTAAGTTTTTATGGAAACAGTACCTCTTTGACACAATATAGTTTTAATTGCTCATTCTTTCATTGGACTTATATGCAATGTTCCAAATTTATGTATAACTAGCCTTCCTACACGCGCTGCAGTGCATGCAAAAGTCTTTTTTCTTTATTATGGGCGCTACACACCTCTTAAGTTGTTTTCATGTATTTAAAAATAGAGAACATAATCTTTACTAAACAACTTATTGTATGATGATTGGATATAGTAATGGCAACATTACATAATAAGTCGTATAGGGAGGAGTTTTATGTTGGCCAGAGGTTAAAACGGAAGAGTCTAGTTTGTTTTAAGCCGCAACGTGCAGTTGTAGACTTGTAGTGGTGTTTGCATGGTGAGTTGCTATATTTCTAAGTCCTTTACTCGCTGCAAGCCCTAACGAAAGTGGGGAAAAAAAATACAAAATAATATTAAATTCTAATAAGATATTAGAATTTACCGAATAATGTTATGTTGAGGGAAGCTCTTAAATTAAATGTCGAATGCCCCCTTCATCGAAGTTGTTTTCATCCTCATAGTATATGAAGTCAGAACTGCAAGAAAACGACCTATTCATATATTAACCACCAATTTGGAGATGCTAAAAGGACGAAAATTTGATGTTAAAAACATGAATTAGAAGAAAAATGGGAATAAAAACGTAAATCGACACTAATATCCACCCTCCAAACCTTCATCTCTACAAATTAGACACCCCCAATTTCACTGGAAACCGCCTAGTCACGGGTTCCACAGTCAGTAGCCGAGACCTCATCGGAGACATTTTGCGATTATCGCTTGCTCCAATGGATAATGGAATTACAGACACCAGGTTATAGTTCCCCTCGATGTCATCATAGTACTTTAACCTTAATTTAGTTTTGAGTGAAAATATTACCAGAAAAAACAAAAAAAAAAAAAAAAAAGAAAACATAAAAACGGTTAAATTAATAGTGCCTTATAAGTTAGAGCGCTTACGCCATGAATCGTGCAATGCCACACCATCAAATTAACCATTTCATCTGGTAAAGTCTCCAGCTTCGCAACAAAACCCTACAAACACAAAAATTATAACCGCGATTCACACAGAGAGAGGCTTGGGTGTATATGGATGTGAGCGTTCTTATAAATGCCCATTGGTTCAGCAAACCACTTTTGTAATTGACGTTGATCAATTTTGTAAAATCTACGTGGGATGAGAATGTGCACGTCTCTATTATTTATTTTCTTTATTTGTTTTGAAATTATTCGATCTCTTTTCCAATATTTTTTTTTTGTTTTAGTTTTTTGTATCTATTTTTTATGACAAAATTATCCCTGCGGATTTTGTTCTATTATTTTCACTAAGGTTTGAATTTTTTTTGTTTTAGGGACTTTTATGTCCAATTTTTTTTTTTTTTTTTTTTTTTTTGAAGCCTTGAGACACCAAAACTCACTTATGGCTTTCTAATATTTGAGATATAAGTCCTATAGGTGAAGGGACCTTTAGAAAGCTAATTAAGAAATGTAGTCAAACACTAATTAAAGCCTAGTTTGGTATTGGTTTTTTTCATCAAAAAGCTGCTTAACTTTAAAATTAAACAACAAAAAGCATTTGGCAAAACTAATATATTCTGCTTATTTTTAAAGCAATTACTTCTAAACAGCAACTTTTAAAAGTCGCATGTAAGTTGCTTTCAAAAGTTGTTTATATAAAAAGCAGAATTGAGCATTTAGTGCATATTTTTATCTTGCAATGCCCTCATTAATTTTCAAAAGTTATTTTTATCCTGCAATACCCTCCATCTGCACACATTATGTTGGTGTCAAAACTCGGAGGGATTCTGGACTAGGTTCAACACATATTTGCCCCGAGTGGTGCCAAGGGATGACTCGAGAGAAAGAGAGAATAGGCGTCCCACTGTTGGAGGCTACCAACAAACAATGTTTGAATGAGCGTGTGTGAAAGTTGCTCGTAATTCTGACATCTTAACCAAATGATTGTGCACCAATGGGATGCTAGTTTGGTTAAGTTCTTTAATGTGCCTTAAGCAAACAAGGACTTAAAACTCAGTGTAACTTCGTGTATGCTTGCCTAAAAAGTAAATAAAAGAGAAATGAAACTAAAGCTAGAAACATAATGTAAGCATTTCATGATGGAGTCAAGATTACGAACATTCACATAAGTAAAATCTAGGCCAATGGGCTGAGCTACATAACTTGAAATATAAATCAACAGAAAATATAAAGAAAGCAGTACAACTCTAACAAGATGCAGGTCATGAAGGGAAAGATAATGCTAGAGGAGTCCACCAAGATCGCTAGTGTCAGATTAAAACTAATACAAAACATACGCCTCTAAGAGGGAACGAGGGTAGTTAGAATAGCTCATCAACCAAATTATACCACAGGGTGGCTGAGCTGTAACAATTTTAGATCTCAAGGATCGTAGACAATGTTTCATTCGGAAGGAGACTTTGAGATTGTAGTTGAAATAGCTAAGAGAGTTTTGCTAAAAAGAAATTAGGCTTGTGCTGAAAAACAGTTAGGTTGATTGAAGAATCACTCAAGGTTTGTTTAATCGTAAAGATTGAACTTGACGAAGGTTCTCAGCTTGAAGACATCTAGCTTTATTTATAGGCAATGAAGAAGGAGCAACCTCGATATATCGCTGAGCTGGAACAGGGGTCAATCGATCTTTTGGTGCTGATAGTGAATGTAATTCCTGGTAAGTGGCCTTTCAGCTGTGTCTTATGGCGGTTTGCATGTTCACAGTGGTGACATCAGTGTGTCGGATGATGCATGCATTGGCCTTTAAGGAGGCGAGATATTCTCAAATCTGGCCATCTATGTGGCAGACGCGTTTTGGAGGGATTTTTTGTGTCTGAGGCTTTAGACAGGTTAGAGTGAAATGAGATGGTCATCCAAGCCCTGGTTTGGGCTTCAAAGTTGGTAGACCGAAGCCGTGCGACTTTTGCGTAAATAAAAATGGATAGGCCCAATAGCTTGCTTTATTTTTATTTACCCAAACACATTCTCTTCGTTAAAGAACAAATTGACCGCCACCACCTACTACTACATCCATTAACCTTGCCTCACTACCGCCATAACCATTATCATCGTTGTCATCACTACTGCACCACAATTGTCACCACCACCACCACCAAAACCACGACAAACGCCACCACTCACACCACAACCGTTGCCACCACCACCACTAACACCACCATCGTTGCCATCACGGCTGCCATAATTTAACACCACCACCACAACCACAACTACCACCCCAACCACCAACACCTCTAGCATTGACTCTAGCACCATTATTACCTCTGCAACATTACCACCACACCCTGTTATTGGCACCAACACCATACTCCGCCAATTGTCATACCCATCATCGCCACTGCCTTCGCCACCATCGTCGTTGTTACCACCCTATTATTATGTCAACTTTTGTCATTTTATACAATTAATTATATTACTTTTAGATTAAAATTTACTAACCGCTTTTATACTGGTTTTCATACTCACAAAACTTTTAAAAATATAGTTTATCAAACGCTCAACTGCTTTATTTTACAGTTGATTATTCTTAAAGCACATCATAAATATTAAAAAAAAAAGAAAAAAAAAAAAGCATAGCAATTCCAATTTTGATCCTAAGAGTAGTTCCAGTGTAGTAAGGCCCCTGGGCAATAAGCAACTCAATTTCCTTAAATGAACAGTAACTGCCTTTAGTAAACAATAACTACCCAAATGCATTTCTACTCCTAAATTGAATAGCCCAGGCTATTGGTATTAAAATAATTTTATTTTTATGTTCGGCTATGATTTTTAACCAAAGGTGGAAGAGCATGGGTGTGCTATCCAGATACCCCTTGATAATTTATGTTCGTTGATCTTCAATTCATCCGATCCGATGGCCGAAAATTAAAAAGGTGTGTAAAAGTGAAATGGGGTGTGTGGATATCACACCCTTTTTTTTTTTTTTTTTTAAATGCTTATGTATTTTTAATTATTTCTTAATAATTTAAATTGAGGATGATGTCAGCTTTGCATCAAATCACTCAGGTGCTAGGCCCATGGATTTTCGCCTGACTTCTTTCTCAAGCTCGCCTTCAATCCAATTGTTGGCAATGGATTGGGTTGCCCATCAATGGGGGCAATGATTAACGCTGGAGCTACTCTAAGAGCAGTGAGTGGAGAAACACTTTGTTCTTATATTTTTTAATCTTCTTCCCTATAATGAAAACCTATATGGCTACCTTATGGACGTAGTTCAAATTGAATGTACCACGTTAGGTTCAAGTTTAATTTACAAAGAACAAAATTCCCTTGCAAATATAACTAGTAAGAAGTCGTATATACCAGACTTTCGATAAATAAAAAAGAAGAGAATAAAAGCTATGATATGATGTTTAGAATAATCTAAATTAGTGTATTCTTCTCCATAACGAGGTATTCAACTAAACTAAAACTCGTAAGCAAACT